CAACACATCATTCGATTGCCACTGATTCGAAATCAATTCCTGCATAGATTTATTCCACACGATTGATATTGTTCGTTTTTTTCTCTCATTTCAAGCACTAAACTTTCATCGCGTACATCTTGATCATGTTCGTCGCATGGAAAATCAGCATCAGATTTGCTCAAAATCTTCTGATCTTTTGTTAACACTGAAGGTGATCTCACCAAAAAGTTTTCCAGGAAAACCGCTAAAAATGTCGCAGCTTGTTGAGAGTCAACAATAATTAATAATGAAAGAATTAGCAGGAGAATGAGCAGAATGCACATTGATTAATCTTAGAACGTTAACGATAATTGGACTGTCAACGAGATTGTAGACAGCAAGAAATGAAACAATGAAGACTGATATGGGAAAGTGAACAATTGAAAAGCTGTTGATAAAACACAGACAACAAATCAGATGCTGCTGACAGGTCACTGCATCGCCATAGCAGATAGATCCCGTGGCGTATCACATTCACTGATCGTGAATGCAATGCTTGAAATGAGCATCATCTTATATACGTGCACATTTCGGTGTGTTTTATGTATGGTTGTGATGGCGAAGACGTTCACTGCTTAGCAAACAAATCAAGCTTTATCAATTCTATATTAACGGTTTCCAAGTTGTGTGACTCATTCATCTTTGCATCTACTCATTTCACGTTCTATTCATCAAAGCTCTAACAGTCAGTGAACTTGATGTCATGCACAAATATCAATTTTTTATCAGCTTTATCAGTCAGTTCTCACAAAAACTTTAGTGATTGTGAGCAAAGTACTAAGCAATGAGGTTATCATACTTAGTGATAACCGCTTCGAATACATGAACGTTATTAATTGTCGGTGACTAAACTATACAGCTTTCTGCTTGTCCAGTGAAGCAACTTTTGTAATTCAAATACAAGAATTAGCAAACAAACAACTATGACCAATCAGTAGTTCATGTCAAAGTAAAGCTGAGAAAAATGAAAATGAGTGGTTATTATGAT